CAGCCAGTCCTTTCAGCCCCTTCCCTTTTTGGGCCTCTCTCCATCAACTCATTGGACAGCTTTGGAGACTGAATTCCTTTCTGTGCTCACAAAACAGATACAGCCTTGGCAGTACCAGTACTAGCTTCCCCACATTGCTCTGCCACTGTGTCTCAGTCCTTTTCTAAAGCGACCATTCCAATAGTGCACTAGATTGACCCATTCAGTCCATTGGCTGTCTGCTGAATCATCCATAAAGGATAAGAGTTAGTGCCAATTGGGATTTGGATGTGTGTGTGTGTGTGTGTGTGTGTGTGTGTGTACGTGTGCACACGCACGTGTGAGTGAGACATTCACTGGAAGCTGCACAGAGGCAGCTTTCTCGTTTTATCTACAGCATCAAATAGCCACTGGATGAAAAGGAGCATTTTAGTCATCACTGATCTGAATAGGATTTCTGACCCAGTATCCTAAAGATGAAAGACTTTGTATTCACCTGTTAGTCCCTTTGCCATTATCCTGGGGCACCTGTGTCACCAGTGCTATCAATGGAGCTGCACCCACTTAGGCCAGCAATATGTTTGACCCCAAACATTTTATTTCTAGTTGGATCCCAGTGTTTTGTTTGGTCTTTAGTAAATCAAATTTTCCTTCTAGGCAGTGATGTATCTTTTAAAAAAGATATATAACAAAATGAAAATAAGGCTATTAATCTAAGACAAATGGGATCCAGCTAGTCTTGAGACTGTCCATTTGTAGGGACTGAAAAGGGAGGTACCATAAATGTATTAATTCCCCCTTCTTAATGGAACTGGTTGTGGAATCTTGTTTGTATTATCTGCATAGCTTGCCCCACTCCCACTTCTACGGTCGAATACAGGTGGCGATGGAATTCAAGTGTATGTGTGTGTGCATATATGTGTGTTGGTGTAAGAGTGCATATAGTTTATGTAGTTGTATACATGTGAGTGTAAACTTCTTCATTTTTGGAAGGGAAATGGGATGAAAAATGGGATGAAAAGTCAGAGAACATTACAAACCTTCTGTCCTAGGATTCCAGGAAGTCCGGGATCACCAGCTCTTCCCTTCTCCCCCTGTTGATGAAAGGCAGAGATGGTCAGGGACTGTCTTTCAGGGCTTTCATTGCTTGTGGGATCAGTGAAAGTGCTACTGAATCCATAGAGTTCATTTGCTACAACACAACAAACATTCCTAAAACTCATCTTTTACCTCTAGGACATAATTTTAAGAGGCAGCCAAGACTTTCAAAGCAGTACATGTCTCTTTTCCCTGCCTTCAGGATTTGCTCAACTGATTTTTCATCATTGTCTCTTATCTGTGATATCTTTTCACCTTGTGTTTTAGAAAGTAGGTATGTGCCACTGTCTGCTCCTTTCCCTGAGACTCTTAGCATTAAAAGACCACTGTAAAATGATACCCTACCAAGTTAAAGGTCATTTTGAACTTTAAAACCTGCACTTTGATTATGTATTTTCCACTTTGTTCTAACAGCCAAAACTCATTGCAGATGGGCAGTGCAAGGTATTGTTAGTCCTTTGCCACCTGCACACATGCTCCTTCTATAGACCACCTGGGTTGTTATTCATCCTTTTCATGTAGTAAATGAATGTTTGAAAGTGAATGCAAGATACAAATGGCCATGTGGAATCAAAAGAGACTTTTTCACACAAGATGCTATTGGGGTAACTCCGTGGCTGGTGTCAGTTGTCAGAGCTCATATAAGTACATGGAACTAAGACATTCACACCCACTGAGGAATTGCCCAATTAAGGATAATGACTGAAGTCACCTTAGGGCCTGATCCATGACTTTGCCAGGAGTCTGAGTGTAATGAGGTGCAGGGAATATAAAACTGGGCCCTCTGAGCAAGCCAAATATCAGGTCAAATCGTGTATAAAACTTCAAGAACTTCATGACTGAATAGCATTGCACAGCACTGCTTGATAATGCAATAATGCTTTTTTGAGGGGCATGTACTGAAATAACTTTTTTCCCACCAGTCCTGAAAAATATTCCTGCTCCTGCTGTAAGCCATGTTGTAACTCCTCTGATCACAGCTGACACGCTTGAAGGGCATCCCGGTGACAGCATTCCTCCAAAGGAATCACTCACTGTACTGTAAGAGCCTCTCAGATATGCTCACATACCCTTTGTAGGACCCTTAGATATTTTCTGTTTGTTCATCTTCTACTACATTGATAATAACAAATCCTTTTCTCAGTCACCAGGTTCTAAACATTTAGTGCATCATCCCCCTGTAGCCACCCAGCTCTCAAGTGCTCAGTGGTAATGGAGAGAAGTGAAAACAGGAACAGGGAAAATTACAAGGTCAGATAGGCCACCCTTGATGTGACCCCTAAGCAGCTGAGAGCCCAGCAAGAGGAGTAGTCTGACTGAAATGAGTTGTGAGAGGTACAGTCAGACTATGGATAAATTCCATGAGGAAATGAATAAAGGACCGACATATGCCACCCTGTGGCCATTTTTGTAAAGTGATTTTGTTTAACTTTCAGTCAGATCTTGTGTGCCTGAAGTCTCCGTTAGGAGGCACATCCTTTCGAATTTTTGTGCCCCTACTGGCTCATTTACAGCCTTATGAGTTCTGATTAAGATTCTTTCTTGTCTAGCCACAGGGCGCCATCTGTAAACCAAACCCCTATCACCAGCATTTCCATATACAATGAACTATACAACAGGTTCTTTTTAAACAGCTGACAGGGTTTTGGTTGTTGTAATGCATAGACATTTTAGTCTCAAAGTGACTGTCTCTAGTACGCTAACACCACTAGAGAAAAGAGATTTTCTTTCCTGTAATTGTTAATTCTCCAAAGTTAGTAATTTTTATAGGTGATGATCATTACTATAATTGTTACTATGAGTATTTCCCCTATTATTAGTTCCCATTTTCCCATCCCTCTTCCCCAATAGCACTGGATAATATTTGGTTTTAGATTTATTTCAACTCTTTAATTTGTCACACATGAGCAGTTACTTGGCTGTATTTCTCAATAGCCTACAGGTACATTAAAACTCTTTTCAGGTGGGTTAACTCAGAAGTGTGGTCTATAGAACATTCTAAAGTATTTCTGCATGGCCTTAGCCCATAACTATAGCTCTATTACAACAACAGACTCAAAAGAAAAATAATTAGAGAGAAATAATTTATTTTTCATTGCATGCATGGCTAAAAGATTTTAATCTCTTAGAAAGACAAGTACATGAATTTCAACAAAGTTCAAGGACTGACATACAACATGCAAGGTGCCTGCATAAGTGCTCTGAGAAGGGGTGTGCATTGTGTGGCACTGCAGAAATTAATTAAAATTAATTAATTACAAACCCGTGTTCTAAAGAGCTTTGCATTCTACCTAAGCTCTGGTCTACACTAGGGAGTTATTTCAAAATAACACCCCTTATTTTGAAATAACAAAGGGTGTATCCACACCATCAAGCCCATTATTTTTTAATAATGGGCTGGTTATTTTGAAATAATAACTCCTGCTTTCCATGAGGAATAACACTTATTTCAAAATAGCTCCAATGCTGCTATTTCAAAATAAATACTCCACAGAGTCATTAAAAGTAATTACTCCCTAGGACTTCCTGGGGCTCTAAGTTGAGGTAGCATGTCCACATTATGGCTACGTCTACACAGGTTCCCTCTTCCGCAAAAGCCTATGCAAATGAAGTGCAGATTAGCATATTGCCATGCTTCATTTGCATAATTCATTAGGAGCCATTTTTGCACAAGAGGTTTTTGCGCAAGAGCCATTCTTCCTGAAAAAATGAGAAAGAATGGCTCTTGCGCAAAAGGGCTGTCTACACAGCTCTTTTTTGTGCAAAAACCTCGTGCACAAAAGAAATCCTAAGAGGAAATGCAAATACAAGCGCGACATATGCAAATGAGCATTCCATTTGCATTTCCTCTTGCGGAAAAGCCTTGCAGTATAGATATAGCTTAAGAGAGCACAATTACAGTAATTCCTCATTTAACACTATAGATATGTTTCAGAAAATGATCGTGTTAAATGAAAACGTGTTATGCGGGGTCAATTTTCCCATTGAAAATAATGAAAAAGGTGGGGGTTGCATTTCAAGTGGTGGTGTCTGTTGGGACAGGGACATAAGGTTGGAGGAGAAAGGGGACTGGATTTACAGCAAGGAGGGGAGGTGTTTGGCTCTGGGGAAGGGAAGGGGAGGAGAAGGGAGGGGGATTGGGTTGGGAGTATGCCCCTGTGACAGGTCTGCTGGGACCCGCACTGCATCCGGCGAGGGTGGGTCGCTGGGGAACAGCATGGCGAGCAGCAAAGCCTCTGCTGTTTTGCAGGGAGGTGGGGGAAGCCCCATGCAGCTGCCGGCAACGGGCTGGCTGGGAAAACCCAGCTGCCGGCCTGCAAGCGGGGATGGAGGAGAGGGGGCAAGGCGTCCGGCGAGGGGAGTCAGCTGGGAATGGCACGGCGAGCGGCAAACCCTCTGTTGCTTTGCAGGGAGGCGGGGGAAGCCCTGCGCAGCCTCCAGCAAAGGGCTGGCTGGGGAAATCATGTTATTCTGGGGACGGTCGTGTAATTCAAAAAACATTCTCTAAAAAAAAAAAAAAAAAATCGCGCTATCGCGAAAACGTGTTAAGCGGGCACGTGTTAAATGAGGAATTACTGGACCTGTTTTATAAGGTTCTCTGACCTTCAGCTCAGTGAAAGTGCTCTATATCCTTTCATCCTTGTTAGACATGTACCTTGCAATGAGAATCTAACGATTTTCTCCCTGGAAAAGCGAGAAGGCCCATTATGTTGGGTCTTGTTTCCTAAGGAACTATTGGCCATCTCTAGGCTGTCAAACTCTTACAATCACCAACCATATCACTATTCTTATTAATCCACTGAGTCAAAGTAAAATATCCCAGTAAAGGGAAGCTGCTCTTATGGGTGCTGACACACTTTCTCCTGTGGTGAAGAGTTCACTGAGACCCTAAACAGCAGACAACAGGAGTCAATAATTTTTAAAAACTGAGCATGCCGCATAGAGCACCCACACTGAAAAATGAAAGAGCACTTTGTTGGTCCCTTTCTACATCAGGGACACACTTCCAGACAGAGAGGGACATACAGAGAACATTCTGAGGTGCCTACATGTTCCTTGAGACATGTTGATTCCACTGTAACAATCAGAAGGTACAAAACCTTTCTCAGGAGAATGTTAATGCTCAGTACTTCATTCCCTTCCCAGAATGCACTTATCCCCCCTTTGTGTTGGTTTTCCTGTTCCTTGCCAGCAGGTACAGGCAAAGCACACTTCCTCAATGAGATGAGAGCATCCACAACAGGGTAAGAGCATTCCACTACACGCATGGAATGGTAGTGCAAAGCAGGCCCAGGTTAGCCATGGCTATAGGGAGGCACATGCCAGTACAGCAGTGTTAAGAAACCGCACCCAAACACACAATGTCCTACCCTCTGTCCCCTTTTCCCTGGCAAACCTGGGGGGCCCATCATCCCTGCAACGCCAGGTTCTCCCTTTGTGGTAAGAAAAGAGACAGAGAATACATCTGTTCTAGGGCTGGTGGTTTTCACGCTGCAACATAACACTGCAAACATGGTCACAGCTAAAGCAAGAGGAGTCAGTTGCTCAGTGTCTGAATTTGTTGCCTCGTTATAGAAACTCAGGGGTATTTTTGTACCATTTTTTTATTATTTTGCACATACTGATTAGGAGGGGTAAGAAATGTGAACCAACTTATACAGCATCTGTACAGTGATCAGATTCCCTACAGCAGGGATGGGGAACATAAGGCCCAGGGGCCAGATGCAGCACCCAGCTTGCCTGGATCTGACTCACAAGGCTCAGAACTCCCCCCTAGCATTGGAAAGCCTGCGCTGGTGCTCCAGCCCTCCTGCCACCAACCTGTAGGGCTGGAGCACACAAAATCTACTAGTCTGAGCCCCCCAGGCTCTGGTGCGTGAAGGAACTGTGCTGAGTGTCTTTCTCCTTCTCAGTCACAGGCTACGTCAATGAGGATTTGGTTTTTTGGAGGGGGAGGGGATTTCTCCCCACTTGTGTGTGGTCCCTAATTTTTCTGTGGGACAGTGGCCCACGACTCAAAAAAAGGCAAGTCTCTGGAAGGAGGCACAAGTGCTGGGGGGAAGAGGCAGGCAAGGGGAACAGGGAGAGAATGGCATGTTGTCACATAGCTTAAGGGCGAAGGAGGAAAAGACAGAGACTAGAAGGGAAATATCCCCCTCAGACAGGAGGACTGAGTGGCAAGGGAAGGAAGGGGATAAAAGTCTAATTACAATAGGGAAATCTCTCACAAACATGCCTCTCTTCTGTTATGGAGAAATGTAACTCAGCTTTTCTGAACCAGAGATGGCATTCTACAGATGACACCAGGAAACCCTTTATAAACAAAATACAGGAAATGCAAATTTGCAATAACTATTCCTTGAAGGGCAATTATTTTCTTCTGAATTCCCTCACTTGCCCTGCATGAAGAAAGATGGAAAAGTACATAAAAGAAAGAGGAGAGAGAGGGTGGCCAACCCACTTCTCAATTAAAAAAAAAAGCTAGGGGTTGTCATTTAAAAAGGCATGGAGCCAAAACCGTGTGTTAGTTTGATTTCGATTTGAATTTAGATTTGTGGAAATAGGGGCATGAAGTCAAATTTAAAAGTGCATGACATACTTGGTTTTTCTTTTCTCTTAGTTATTCTTGTGTATGGATATTGTTGTTTCTATCCTAATTTTGAAGACACACAATACAGCCCATAGGCTGAAAGTACCAATAATAAAAGGGTGGTAAGTGACCATTTTGAGTTGTTTCCTAAGAAATGGTTTCCCAGACCTGCTTGTTTAAAGGTTGTGTCCAACGGGGTCCTAGCAAGAAGTGTGGAATAGTCCCACAAGGCCTCTCACAATTTCAGAGATTCTTGTGGTGAGTTATGTTCCCGAGCTGATACTTTTACAGTTGTTGCTGGCTTGAGGAGACTCTGCAGCTGATGTTTGTCATTACTAATTGTTTGCATCAGTGTATCATCCAGAGGGGTCAGTCTCAACCAGTGTCCTACTGTGCTGGGCCTTGGCCAGTCATGGAATTTTGGTGGTGGCATAGTTATACCAGTCAACAGGCATGGGAGAGAGAGCCTTCGCCAGCAGCTGAGGGCAGTGCTCGTCATCCGCAAAGATTTTCACAGGCCCAAGGATTGGCATTCCATTGTTGCTTGGTTACAGTCAGTGGGTTTTGGAACTCATCTGGGTTGTTGAGAGCCAGCTAATCTGCCTATCCCTATCTTTTTATAAGGTCATTCATCACCTGGAACCTGAGCACTGAGCATATGCTAATGAAGAAATCTATCTGATTGCAAGGTAGTGGAGAAACGGAGATACTGGTTGAAAAGATAGGATATAATAATAATTTTGAGTTTAGGAAATAAACAGAAGCTATGAAAATAGAGAGATTCAAGGACAGTTAAGAATGGAGTTTGAGAGGAGCTGAAATCAAAAGAGGGCTGTTGTCTCACAGAAAGTGAACTGAGTGACTAAGAGAATTGAGTTTTCTTATAGTCTCAGGGCTGGAACAAGTATAGTTTAGCTGACCAATCCAGGAAAGGATCAGTCATTTTCCTACTGGAGTCAGCATTTGGCTACAACACAGACAGGCCCTAGCCTTTCTCTGAGGAAAGGGATGGCCATTTTCTGTATCTGTTTTAGTTTGAGCTTTCTTCTTTCCCATCAGTCAATCAATTGCCTTTCCAAATTGGCAGCAGAATGAATGTATGCCTCCATTTTCTTTTAATCCGTGGGTTTCCTACCATGAGCTAATGGCCATCAGTCTAAGGCTGGAAGTTTTATTTCCTCTCATGGCCCTTGTCCCAATTCTTATCCATGATCTATCCTAAGAAGCTGTAATTTAATGTAAAACTGACCTTTATCCCTGCAGCAGCCATTCCAGGAACCCCCTGGCAGAGAGAAAGAGGAAAGATGAGAACACTTGGTTTGAAAAGTAAATACAGTAGACTTTCGATAATCCGAACCTTTGGGACCTAGGTGGTGCCGGATTATCGGATATTCAGGACTATCAGGAGGTACTATAAATTGGTTATATATATATGCAGTATATACTATATATAAAGTGTTTAAACCCTTTTTATTGTAGCACAAACACTATCCAGCGTCACACAATGCCAGTGGCAGACTGACTTGGTCCCATCCGGTTTCGCTCGGTTCAGCTGCTGCCACTGCTGCGTTACTCACTAGGCTCTTGCCATTTTGATGCCGGACTATCGGGAGTGCCATACAATTGGATGCCGGACTATTGGAGTTTTATTATATAAATATATATTCCTTTTTAAAGAAACCAGCCAAGTCAGAAATTCAAATAATCTATGCCTTTCCTTTTCCAAAGCTCAGAAGACATTTTAACATAGTAGTTACCACACTTTTCCATCCTGGTTCCCCAAAATGGGAGAGTCATTAAAATTACCTTCCCTCTGGTAGTGCCCATATTATCCAGAATAAAAGGAGGCTGTGCCACCAAAGAATAGCTTTGTTGCAAAGATCACAGAAGAAAAAGTTTATCCTTTCTCCCAGATTTAGGTGTGCTACATCTAGGCCATGTTTACACTAGAAAACTATTTTGAAAATGATTAATTTTGACTTAAAAACTCCTGCTGTAATACATTTGAACTAGCACATTCTCACTATGGGGAAGCATCAAAATTAATCCGAGGCAAGCTCTGTTAATGTGGATGTGCTACCTCCTACTTAGAGCCCCAGGAAGCACTCTGGGGAGCTGTGGGAGGCCTCCCGGAGGCCAATAAATTTGAATTAGCAGCACTGAAACGTCCACATTGTTATTTCAAAATTACCATTTTGGAATTAGCGTTAATCCTCATGAAAAGCAGGCATAGAGTTTGAATTTCGTGGCCCGTTATTTCAAAAGAACAGGCTTGGTAGTGTGGATGCACCACTTATAAATTCAAACTTGGAGGGGTTATTTTGGAATAAGGCCCTCATATAGACCAGGGTCTAGTGAAGTTGACCCCATGACTTCATAGGAGCTGTGTGGATCACTGTGAAACTGATGGAGATACAGTAATATGAGGATCAAATATCTCGTTAAATGTTTGAATCCAGAATCTTAGTAAAAATGAGTCCCTGAAAAATGTCCAATCACCACAGAAAGAGAAAATGTTCTTGGTCTTGTTAATCAGCATCATTCTGTTTTACCACAGATGACATAAACTTGAGTATCAGATTTGCAGAGGAAATCTTTGAAGCCAGCTATCACTGGCAAAAAGACTCTCAAGCACGCAGAGTCTTGCGTCATTCTGCACAACACAGCAATACACCACCAGCAAATTATGGGACTCTAATCCCCAGTGGAAACTGAGATGGTTGTTTATTGGCTCTCAGGGCAGGTGCTCCTGTGGGTACGATTATATTTCCTTCCGTGGCAATGGTGCAAAAGCAAAACTTCAGCATCACTCCCTTGCTCAGACTCGATATTTTTGCAGTCTAAGTGTTAGTACTAGTTAGATCGTTCTGCAAATATCCAGTTAGGAAAGCAAACATGAGGAGTAATGACAGTGTAGGAAAGGAGCTGGGGGGAGAATGAGATGAAGCAGGGTTAGAAGGTGGGTAACAGGAAGGTATAGGGAACTTAATGTAGCACATGAGGCAAAAAGAAGGAAGAGAATGAGTTCATCATTGGAAAGAGCTTGTAAAAATTCAAACAAGGCAAAGTGTGAAGCAGGGGAGGGGCAGAATCATACCTCTCAACTTTCTGAAACAGAAATCAGGGACAAAGCTAAAAAACACAAGGACAGAAGATGGAAATCAGGGATTTTATGTAATAAAAGGGGGGAAAGCATTCAGAAATGTATCAGAAGTGAGTAGTTTTTAGTAAATATGGGCCCGAGTCATGAAAGGGATTATGTACAGATCATGTTTTGGGAATTAGATTTTACTGAACTCATGCTATCCCCTGTTCCTTATTTTTCTACTTTAAAATTGTAATGAGTAAGTCCAGTGATTTTTCCAATATTAATTTTAAATCTGTAACCCATGCACACACTGGCTCTGATTCACCACTGCACCATCCCTTTTTATACTGGTGTAAATTCCATGGATTTCCATGAAATAACGCATACTAAAACTGGAGTTGGCAGTGTAAGTCAGGCTCACTAGACACATGTCCAAAATTTATAAATTGCTGATTACCTACAAATACTAATTAGTGGTAATTCTCACTAGAATTAAGTATGACAGGTTTGATCCTGGCAGGTGCTGATCTCAATGGAATAAGGGACATTCAGCATCTTGCAGGATCACACCCCAAAATGAGACGTAGCGTTGGGAATAGACATGTCATTTCTTCAGTAAAACTTTTCTCCCCTGTCATCCCTTTGATAAATTAGGCCCTATGCTTTGCATTTTAGAAGCAGAAAGAAAATTATAGAGAAAGTGAGGAGAATCATTGTAGAACCCAAATTGGGGCCATCCCTGAAAGCCAGGGACAGTTGAGAGGTATGGGTAAATGCAGGTGGACAAATCTCACTCCATTCCTTGCAGGATACCTTAGCTCCATGTTTTCCTGGCAGCCCTGGCATGCCCCTCTCCCCCTGGAAATGGAATAAGAAACAAAGTTGAGAGGACAAGCATCAGATGAGTCTTCAGGAAGGCCTGTGTTGGTGATCGTGAAAGCACAAGTGGATATTATTTTTGCATAAGATGTCAATAAGTTCTTGTCAGGGAGACCAGACCTCTGATTCCCCCCCCCCCCCCCCCCCCCAGTCCTGCTTCTATTAAAACAAGATGATTTCTCTTAGTCATAGCTTCTCCTCTTGGGTACCTCCTAGCACCTGGATAGAACCACTACATTGCCATGTTCTGTCTCAGAATGTTTCTCTCCTTGCTGTGGTAGAACAATGTGAGCCAAATTATTTTGTTACATCAGTGATACAAATGAAAACAGAACAATGAGAGCTTTATGCTTAACCCTTACATCTGCTGCCTTAAAGAGCTTTCCAACACCCAGTACTAACTCCTAAGCATCCCATGGGTATGGAAACCATTTATTTATTTCCACTGTACAACTGTCACTGTGTACACATCACAGTTATCTCTGGGCAGAAAATTCAGAATGCAGAATACAAAATACATGGATCGGTATCCCTATAATTACGTAGATTTACCCCAGGAGAAAGATTTTTAAAGCCTGTAATCACTAGCTCAGGCAAAAGCTGAGGCAGGCAAAAACTCCGTGCCCATACTTTGAAGGTCAATAGACTTGAGCCATGTCAGATCAAAATGTGTTGATGGCTGCTTCTTTCAACATTCTCCAAGTGTGAATTTTTGCTCTTCATGTTGTTGTTGTCAATCCTGTACTAAAAACCCTAAAATAAAGGAAGAGAGTATGCTCCTGTCTTTTGATTTTTCCTAGATCCTTAGTTTATTCTGTCCAACTGGCACACTACCTTCTGTAAATGCCTCTTTGTGGCCTACCATGTCCATAATTTATTTATGTAACTCTGTCAAATTAATTGCTGAGAGGTTGGGGTTACATTACATGATACCCATGCAGGCAAAGCAGTCAAGGGACTTCTTCAGGAGTTGCTGAGGTTGTAAATCTGTTTTTAAAAGTACAGGCTTATCTACTGTGAACATTTAGTTTGCAGCAAGCTGGGATGTCAGTCTACCATTCACAAGATTAAGTATACACTGGCACTTGAATGACAAAACTTTTGCCATTCAGGCTACATCTAGACTACAATGTTTTATTGGAAAAAGGGATGCAAATTGCCAGTGTGAACAGCACATTGTCAGCAGGAGTGTTCGCCTGCTAACGATGCAGATGGCACTTGTTGGGGGTGGAAGTATTTAGTCAGCAAAAAAACTGACAAACAGCAGCTATACTGCCCAACTGTTAGCAACATGGCTGTGTACATAAGAACATAAGAACGGCCATACTGGATCAGACCAAAGGACCATCTAGCCCAGTATCCTGTCTTCCTATAGTGGTCAACGCCAGATGCCCCAGAGAGAGTAAACAGAACAGGGAATCTTCAAGTAATCCCTCTCCTGTCATCCATTTCCAGCCTCTGACAGAGGCTAGGGGCATCATTCCTATCCATCTTGGCTAATAGCCATTGATGGACCTAACCTCCATGAATTTATCTAGTCCTTTCTTGAATCCTGATGAAGTCCTGATATTAACAGCTATAATGGTCTGAAGTAAATAGGATGAAGTTTAACAAGGACACATGCAAAGTACTCCATTTAGGAAGGAACAATCAGTCTCACACACACAGAATGGGAAGTGACTGTCTAGGAAGGAGTACTGCAGAAAGGGATGTAGGGGTCATAGTGGACCAGATGCTAAATGTCTACACTAGCACCCTAGTTCAATCTACGGAGGCTAATGAGGGCGACCGAAATTGCAAATGAAGCGTGGGATTTAAATATCCCACGCTTCATTAGCATGTTCCCGGCCGGTTGCCATTTTAGAAATTGACTAGCCCAAAGTAACTGCCCGTGGCTACATGCGGCAGTGAAACGGGATTCCGAATTAAAGCTCTAACTCTAATTAGCTGTTATTCCTCCTTCAATTTACAAGCTAATTCGATTTAGGGCGTTATTTCAAAATAACTACGCAGCAGGCAGTTATTTCAAAATAATGTCAAAAAACTGTCAAACTGGAGGACTTCATACTCTGACTCCTGTAACCCTCATTGTATGAGGAGTAAAGGAAGTCAGAAGAAGAGTGCTCTATTTCAAAATAAATGCTGTATAGACAGTCCCAATTTCAAAATAAGCTATTTTGAAATAAGATACACAAATGACATAGCTCAATTTGCGTAGCTTATTTCAAGTTAAGCCCTGCTGTGTAGATGCACCCGTAGTCTGCCACAGACTAATTGCCTTTGTGAACTTTGCGGATACAATTTTTTAAATGGGACAAGATCAAAGCACATTAACAAACTCTTAAGGTGTGTCTAGACTGCAGGGTTTTGTCGACAAAAGTGGATTTTTGTCGACAAAACTATACCTACACTGCCGCTGAGTTCTGTTGACATAACGTCAATAGAACTCAGCAGTTTTGTCAATGGCTGTAAACCTCATTCTATGAGGAATAACACCTTTTGTCGACAGAGTTCTGTCAACAGAAAGTGTTATTGCATCTACACTGTCCTTTGCATCTACACTGTCATGTCGACAAAGCAAGCTGCTTTCTCGACAGAACTGGAGCTCTTTGTCAACAGAAGCTTTGTCGACAGTATATGTCGACAAAACTTCTGTCGACAAAAGCCTGTAGTCTAGACGTACCCTTATTGTGGTTCCACATGCTCCACAGGGACAATTAGGGCATGTCTATAGTGGGGAGTTATTTCAAAATAAATCCCCTTATTTCAAAATAATAGGGCAAGCATCCACACTACCAAGCCTGCTATTTCGAAATAATGGGCTTGTTGCTTCAAAATAATAATTCCTGCTTGTGAAAAGGAATAATGCTTTTTTAAATTGTTATTTCGGGAGTTATTATTTAGAAATAACTTACTTTGAAATAACCTGGTAGTGTAGACATAGCCTTAGTGTGTGGCATAGTGCAGGACATATTCATAGCCCTGCTTGCCATTAACTAAATGTTCATACAGACAAGCTCTATATCTCAGTGCTAACTAGACAGAATCGGCAGGTCAGCTCTATCTGAGGTGGATTCTCCGGGATAACAAGTAGTTCATGATCCTCGGGCCGAGATTTTGAATGGTATCTACATGTTGCTCTGCTCAGGCCAGGTATGCACTAGAGACTTCTATTGCATGACTGCGTTGCTCGGGGGTGTGAAAAATGCACCCCACTGAGTGACGTAGTTATACCAGCCTGACTCCTGGTATAGAGAGCGCTGTGTCAGTGGGAGAGCTTCATCGATTGTCACAGCTACAGCCTCTTGGGGAGGTAAATTAATTATGCCAACAGGAGATGCTCTCCCTTACCAAAGCAGTGTCTTTACTACAACACTACAATGGCACAGCTGCACCACTATGGGTACATCTAAACTACAAGCCTCTTTTGAAAGAGAGCATTTAGACTGCAACCACTTCTTTCGAAAAAGCAAGCTGGCAGGCAGTCTGGATGCTCTCTTTCAAAAAAGCCCTGTTTGCATTCAAGAATGCCTTTTTTTAAAGAGCAATTTCAAAAAAAGGCGTTCTACCTCTTAAAATGAGAGTTACTGTGGTTGAAAAAACCACCGCGTTCTTTCAATTTAATTTTGAAAGAACCTGGCAGCAGTCTCGATGCAGGGGACATTTTTTTCAAAAAAAGGCCACTTTTTTTAAAAAAAACCTATAGTCTAGACACACTCTATATGTGAAGACAAGTCCCCAGGCTGTGTTTACAGTGCCACTTTTATCCTCAAAACTTTAGCCATTCGGGGGAGTGAAAAAACACCCCCAACAACAAAAGTTTTAGCACTGAAAAGTGCCAGTATAGACAGTGCTTTATTGCCGGAAGAGCTACCCCCTTCTTTTGAGGAGGGTTTTTTTTACCACTGGGAGAGCTGTCCCCCAGGCTGTGTCTAGACTACATGCCTCTGTTGTCAGAGGCATGTAGATTAGACACATAGGCAAAGGCAAATGAAGCCGCGATTTAAATGATCACGACTTCATTTACATTTACATGGCTGCTGCGCTGAGCCGACAAACAGCTGATCAGCTGTTTGATGAATGGAGTTATTAAAGGTCCAGTTTATATATGTTGTTCCAAGGATTCCTCGTGGGATGAGGTTTACCGGGGCTGCCGACAAAGGGTTTTGATGTCGGCAGGGGAGCGTCCAGACTAGCGTGCTGAGCGGACAAACAGCTGATCAGCTGTTTGTCGGGTCAGCGCGGCAGCCATGTAAATGTAAATGAAGCCATGATCATTTAAATCGCGGCTTCATTTGCCTTTGCCAGAACAACAAATCTACATGGCTCCGTCGATGGAGCCATGTAGTTTATACATACCCCCAGAGACAGAGTGCCTACACTGCCCATGTCACAGCACTGTGATGGCAGCACTGCCATGGTAGTGCTCTAACATGGGGAGTGTAGACATACCCTGAGTGCTGCACGATGTACATGACTTAGGAGCCAAATGCCATGTCTACACTCCCACTTACATTGGCAAAACACTCCCGAGTGACGTAAGTGCCGCCGGCATGAGCGATAGCGTGCATAGTGCGATGTCAGCAGGTGGCTTCCCTCTCTGACACAGCTACCGCAGCTCATGAGAGGGGAGGGGGTTATGTCGATGGCAGAGCTCTCTCCAATTGGCACAGAGTGGCCACACAAGCAATCTCACAGTGCTGCAGCTGTATCAGTATCTGAAAGTCTCTAGTATAGACATAGCCTGGGTCTCTTTTTCAGAAATGACTTAGGCACTTAGGAGACTAACTGTCAATGACTTTCAGTAAGACTTAGGCTTGTAAGAGCCGCCTTTAGGCACCCAACTCCCATGGATTTCTGAGAGAACAAGGCACCAGTTTACATTTAAAAATATGGCCCTTGAAAGCCTATTATTCACTTCTGAAAATGAGAAATAGGTTCCCAAGTCATTTAGGCCTTGCAGTACTGAGTGGAGCAAT